GAGGCGAAAATAGGGCAGTCAATGACAAACAGGGGCCAGCTACATCAGCAGAGCATTTGGGACACTGGATTCCATCCCAAGGAAGGGAAATAGTGCACCCAAAATAAGGATTCAGGTTCCCCAAGAGTCAGATTTATAGTCGACATCAGGACCAGCGTCAGAGACTCTAGTCTGTGAAATCATCATTCCCAGTTTAGGGAGACCTGAATCAGTAGAAATACAACAGAAGCCCAAGGATTGTTAGTCTGAGAGTAACAAGACTGGTTGTGGTAGGCCATGTTTGTATTCTCAGGCTTTGGGGCCATAGAAGAAATCCAAAACCACCAAGTCACTGGACCATAACTGCTAAAAACTACAGAGATGGGACAACCACAGCTAAGCACCATAAAAAAAACCCTCAAAAAACCCACCATACACAACAAACTCCTTGCAAACTGAATGGTCTAAGGAAATGTCTGAGCTACAAACAATGCAACAAAGCACCCATATGCAGAAAAATTGCAATAAAATGAGGGTCGTGGCTCATGGCTTCAACCCCAGCCACTATAAGTTTAGAATTAGGTTAAAGCCGGGAATGGTGGCATGCCCATGGGATATAGGGTTCCCGCACTCGAGGCTGGGCAGTTAAGACCACGGGTTGCTCTTCCAGGATCCGGATAAAACTCCCAGTATCCACATGGCAGCTTACAGCTGTAACTCCAGTACCAGTACAGTCAGGGGCCCTGACGAATTCATAGACAAACGTGCACATAAAATTTTTAGAAAATTAATAATCAAGCAAGGGATAAACAAATGCTAATGGCCATGACGCTTTGCTAAGAAAACCGTCTGAGATAACCTAAGGACCTTCTGTCGCCCAACACTAACCTTTCAGGAGAAAGCGGCCAGCGGGTGTCCTCAATTCCCTAACAGGAAGCAAGATAGAAGCAAGCCGTTAAGAACTCCAGGCCACGAAAGTTCAAATCCCAGCTAGCGCAGACGCCGGCCAGGGGCGGTCAGAGCGCTGCGGTGATGGCGTCAGCGGACACTCAGAATCACCAGAGGTCATCATTACCGTCGCTCCCCCAGGTCCAGCCCATCCACATCCCGCCCTGCGATCGCACCATCGACTCACCATCGTGGCCCTGGGTCCCGCCGGCGCGGATCAGAGACCTGGGGAGAGAGAACAGTGTGAGCACAGACCCGGGAGATTGCGGCCCGCGTCCCTCCTCCCGGGCTGGGTCAGTTCCAAGGGTGGCGTCACGGAGACATCAGAAACTCTAGTCTGTAAATGTGGGTCATCCTGCCCAGCCCCACGCCGCGGAGCGCTCCCCACGGGACCCGGGGGTACCTGCTGCACGACCTCCACGGAGGGAGCAAAGCCAGAGACACAGCAAGGTTGCAGGCCCAACGGCAAGCACACAGCAACGCGGCAGACACGCGCACAAAGAGACCCGCCGCCGCGCGCGCGCCGCTTTTATATCCGCGCCAGCCCGGGGTCCTGACGCGCGTAGTCGTCTTCGGATATGCCTGACCCGGGCACCCGCTGACCAATGCGGAGGGAACGAAGCGGAATTATGTCGCTCACTCTTCGGGGTGGAGAGTCACGCATGACTTGTGACTTCTGCTAAATTACCAAAGAAAGGGAAAGCAAAAATGGAAGCAGGCGGGCGGCCTAGACGCCCAAGGTGGGGTAAAGACCCCGGAGAGCGGGCTGGGTGTGTGCGCTCTCTGACCCCCTGGAGGTGTAAGTACGCGGTGATTCTGTTATGATCCAGGCGACCTACGGGACTCAGGTCACTTCTACCAGCCAGAACGATCTGAATTTGCATCTCAGCTTCTGCTCTCCATCCTTTTTATTAAAAAAAAAAATAAAGCGTTTTATTGGGTAGTAAACTTTTCTCCCCTACACCCCCACCGTATCCCTGGCTCATTTGTTACTAACTAGATAGTCCAAGATGGGGTCCAACCATGCTTAGAATTACAGAAGTGACCCACCACCAGTTCAGACATCTTTGTCAGTTTTTTTTTTTTTTAGATTTATTTATTTATACAGTATCCTGCCTGTAGGCCAGAAGAGGGCACCTGATCTCATTATAGGTGGTTGTGAGCCACCACATGGTTGCTGGGAATTGAACTCAGGACCTCTGGAAGAGCAATCAGTGCTCTTAACCACTGAGCCATCTCTCCAGCCCCCATCTTTGTCAGTTTTAAAAATTATTTTAAAAATTAATATTATGGCCGGGCGTGGTGGTGCATGCCTTTAGTTCCAGCACTCTGAGGCAGAAGCAGATGGATCTCTGAATTCTAGGTCAGCCTGGTCTTCAAAGCAAGTTCCAGGGCAGCCAGGGCTGTTACACAGAGAAACCCTGTCTCGAAAAACACAAACAAAGAAATTAATTTTATTTATGTATGTGCACACCACATGTGTGCAAGTGCCTGCTGAGGCCAGCCACAGTGCTTTGGATCTTTTGAACTGGAGTTACAGGAAGCTGGGAGGCACTTGCTGTGGGTGCTGGGCACTGAGCCAGGACATACTGAAGAGCAGTAAATGCTCCTAACCTCCAAGGCCTCCCTCCAGCCCCCTTTGTCATTTTTCTGAGACTGCAGTTCTGCACTCAACACTTCTGCATTCACTTCCTAATACTGGAATCATATGTGTGAGCCACTTTGAGCATCTCTGGCTTTGTTTTTAAAAATACATTTTAGCTGGGAGGTAGCGGTATACAATTTTAATCCCAGCATTCAGGAGGCAGAGGCAGCAAATCTCTGAGTTCAAGGCCAGCCTGGTCTACAATAGGGGTTCCAGGACAGCCAGGGCTACACAGAGAAACCCTGTCTTGAAAAAATAAATAAATAAATAAATAAATAAATAAATATGTACATTCAAGTTGGAGGGCCGGGCTGTGCCCTTTATGGAGCTAAAGGGTGATCTAAGATGCTAACTCAGAAACAATATTATAAATGAAATTTGGAAGGTCACTGCATACAAGAAATGGATTTTCTCTGTACTCTTTTCAGTTATCCCATCCGCCCTCTCTCCCTTGAAGCTGTAGCCTTCCATCAAAACTCTCTTGTGAGGTGGGGTGGTGGCACCAGCCTCTGATCCCAGCACTTGGGAGACAGAGGCAGGCAGATTTCTGTGAATTCGAGGCTAGTCAGGGCTACGCAGAGATCCTGCTTTGTAACATAATATAAACCTTTTAAAATCTAAGAATCCTACAGCAATTATTTATTTGATAAGCTTCTCAGTTCCTGGAGGTCCGGTTTGCACCAGGGAGGCTATGGGAGGAAGCTGCTTTCAGTTCTACACTGAGTACATGTTCCGGCTAAACATGACTTCTGTCTGGTGTGGCTTAGCAATAAACCCATCTCTAATGAGCAGTTCATGAACATAATCGCCCCGACCTCAAGAATTAGTTTCCGGTCATTAAACTCTTGCTGCTGGCTTCTTTACCACAGGACAGCCTGACACCTGCTGTGTAAGAATATGCTGGAGGGCCGGGCGGTGGTGGCGCACGCCTTTAATCCCAGCACTCGGGAGGCAGAGGCAGGCGGATCTCTGTGAGTTCGAGGCCAGCCTGGTCTACAAGAGCTAGTTCCAGGACAGGCACCAAAAGCTACGGAGAAACCCTGTCTCGAAAAATCAAAAAAAAAAAAAAAAAAAAAAAAAAAAAAGAATATGCTGGAAATGAAGGTGGCTGACCCTGGCCCAGCTAAGTGATTTTTATTCTTGCTGGAGCTGGGGATTGTTTTTAGGGCCTCCATACTAAGCCAGCATTCTGTCATTGAGCTATACCCCAGCAATCCTAGGATGATGTCATTACACCAATAGGACAGAGACTCATGCATCAAAAGGGCTTTTTCTGCTATTTTTCCCCTATTTTCTGCCTGTTTATTTAGGCCTTGGACAAGCTAGGTAAATGGTCCATTATTTCACCAGGTTTACTGCTTGGAAGGAAGAGGGCAGATAGAGAGTGGGTGTGAGAGTGTGTGCTGTAATCCCAGCGTTTGAGGCCAGCATAGGCTAAATTGCACATTCCAGCACAGCCAGGGCTACATAGAAAGGCCCTCTCTCTCTCTCTCTCTCTCTCTCTCTCTCTCTCTCTCTCACACACACACACACACACACACACACACACACACACGAACCCTCCTGCCCCCAAAGAAAAAGATACCCAGACCTGGTGCCTGGTGGCAAAAGTGTCCAATCTCAGCGCAGGGGTTCGGGGACGGGGACTGATAAGGTCAGGCTGAGCTGGAGGAAGTCTGAGTGTAGCCATTGCCGGGGCAGCTCTGCAAGATCTTAAAAAGTAATAAAGAGCCAGGTGGGAAAAAAAGAAGATGTCTCTCAGAGTCTGAGCCAGGCAGGACTGCATAGTGAGACTGCCTCAAAGAACACAGGAGACCTTACGGAGGGCTCTGAGCTCGGTGAGGAAGCCTTGGCTAGCACGTAGGATGCTCTAGGGCAGGGGTCCTCACCCTTCCTGACGCTGTGACCCTTTAACACATTTCTCATGTTAGGTGACTCCCTCCAACTGTAAAGTTATTTTCATTGCTACTACATAGCTGTAACTTTGCTGTTATGAATCATAATGCAAGAATCTGTTTTCCAACGGTCTTAGTGACCCCGTGAAAGGGACCTACGACCCCAAAAGGGGTCACGGTTGCAGGTTGAGAAACACAGATCTAGATTCAGTCCCGGGGAGGTGGGGGAGAGTTCAGAGCCATCAAAGCCCCTGATGCCCTCTCCACGGAGCCCCAAACTATACCCAGCCCCACTCCTACTTTAGAGCACCTGCCGCTAAAATCTTCTGCCTAACACATAGAAAACCCGCACTTAAACTCGAACAAAATTCCCCAAATCTCTGCTCTGGTCAACCCAAAACCAGGGAACCCACGCAAACGCAGAAGTCCTCATCCCTCCCAAATCCCTGCTCTGGCCAACCCAAAACCAGGGAACCCCCGTAAACCCAGAAGTCCTCATCCCTCCCAACAGACACATGGACAAAACATAGTTGTAACAGTTTATTTAGAATATTTACATTGTAAGTTTTTTTTTTCTTTTTAGTGTTGCAAAGAAAAGACTCTCCACAGGGGGGCAGTGTTGATTCTCCGGTGGCAGGAAAATGCCATCCGTACAGTACGTGGATTAAATACAAAGAAGTATGGATTATACCACAAAACGATAATAAGAACAAGCAGATAATTAAAGTTTTAGCGTGGAAGACTAAAGTTAGAAATACACAGTGGAAAAAAGGTGATGAAAGCCAGTCTGTCTCGGGGATGACTGAGAAGACACTGTCAACTTTAGCTGCTCTGGATTGGGACCAGACACTGAGACTGTCATGGGTCTCTGGGCAGCAACTAATACTTTAAATTTCACACATCATTAGGTCTAAGAACACAAAATCCCTTTACTCTGTTTAAATAAAATACTGTAGACAGACAAACTGGCAACGTTACTGTGGATATAAAGAACATAAGCGTATAAAGTTTAACAGTCCACTCAATTACCTTCTACAAGGCTGGAACTTTAGAACGAACCCAGGAGGGAAGGACCAACCCCGACAGACAGTGCAAAGGCAGTCCTCAGCGCCATCAGTCCGCTTCCCGGAGGACTCCGGGAGAGCAAAGAGGGGCCTCTAATCCACCTCCTCGATGGTGGGCCCCGACCCGGAGCCTCCCTTGGGCGCCTGGGCCCCGAAACCCCCAGCCCCGGGGGCCCCCGCGCCCTGGTACAGCCCGCTGATGATGGGGCTGCACACCCTCTCCAGCTCCTCCCGCTTGTGCACGAACTCCTCCTTGTCGGCCAGCGTGTTGGCGTCCAGCCAGGAGATGACCTCCTGGCACTTGTCCAGCACCTTCCTCTTGTCCGCCTCGCTGAGCTTGCCCTTGAGGCCCTCGTCCTCCACGGCGCTCTTCATGTTGAAGGCGTAGGACTCGAGCGCGTTCTTGGCCGCCACCCGCTCGCGCTGCACGTCGTCCTCGGCCTTGTACCTCTCGGCCTCCTGCACCATGCGCTCGATCTCCTCCTTGCTCAGCCGGCCCTTGTCGTTGGTGATGGTGATCTTGTTGGCCTTGCCGGTGCTCTTGTCGGTGGCCGTGACGTTCAGGATGCCGTTGGCGTCGATGTCGAAGGTCACCTCGATCTGCGGCACGCCCCGGGGCGCCGGCGGGATGCCGCTGAGCTCGAAGCGCCCCAGCAGGTTGTTGTCGCGCGTCATGGCCCTCTCGCCCTCGTACACCTGGATCAGCACCCCGGGCTGGTTGTCCGAGTAGGTGGTGAAGGTCTGCGTCTGCTTGGTGGGGATGGTGGAGTTGCGCTTGATGAGCGCCGTCATCACGCCGCCCGCCGTCTCCAGGCCCAGCGACAGCGGCGCCACGTCCAGCAGCAGCAGGTCCTGCACGTTCTCAGACTTGTCCCCCATCAGGATGGCCGCCTGCACCGCCGCCCCGTAGGCCACCGCCTCGTCCGGGTTGATGCTCTTGTTCAGGTCGCGCCCGTTGAAGAAGTCCTGCAGCAGCTTCTGCACCTTGGGGATGCGCGTCGAGCCGCCCACCAGCACCAGGTCGTGGATCTGCGCCTTGTCCAGCTTGGCGTCGCGCAGGGCCTTCTCCACGGGCTCCAGCGTGCCGCGGAACAGGTCCGAGCACAGCTCCTCGAAGCGCGCCCGCGTGATGGACGTGTAGAAGTCGATGCCCTCGAACAGCGAGTCGATCTCCAGGCTGGCCTGCGTGCTGGACGACAGGGTCCTCTTGGCGCGCTCGCAGGCCGTGCGCAGCCGCCGCACGGCGCGCTTGTTCTGGCTGATGTCCTTCTTGTGCTTCCTCTTGAACTCCTCCACGAAGTGGCTCACCAGCCGGTTGTCGAAGTCCTCCCCGCCCAGGTGCGTGTCGCCCGCCGTGGCCTTCACCTCGAAGATGCCGTCGTCGATCGTCAGGATGGACACGTCGAACGTGCCGCCCCCCAGGTCGAAGATGAGCACGTTGCGCTCGCCCTTGCCCGACCGGTCCAGCCCGTAGGCGATGGCGGCCGCCGTGGGCTCGTTGATGATGCGCAGCACGTTCAGACCCGCGATCACGCCAGCGTCCTTGGTGGCCTGCCGCTGCGAGTCGTTGAAGTAGGCGGGCACCGTGATCACCGCGTTGGTCACCGGGTGGCCCAGGTACGCCTCGGCGATCTCCTTCATCTTCGTCAGCACCATCGACGAGATCTCCTCGGGGTAGAAGGCCCGGCTCTCGCCCTTGTAGCTCACCTGCACCTTGGGCTTGCCGCCGTCGTTCACCACCTGGAAGGGCCAGTGCTTCATGTCCGACTGCACCACCGCGTCGCCGAACTTGCGGCCGATCAGCCGCTTCGCGTCGAACACGGTGTTCTGCGGGTTCAGCGCCACCTGGTTCTTGGCCGCGTCGCCGATCAGCCGCTCGGTGTCGGTGAAGGCCACGTAGCTGGGGGTCGTGCGGTTGCCCTGGTCGTTGGCGATGATCTCCACCTTGCCGTGCTGGAACACGCCCACGCACGAGTAGGTGGTGCCCAGGTCGATGCCGATCGCCGTGTTCTTGGCCATGGCTCTCTCGTTCGCTCGCTCTCGCTCTCGGTCTCTCTCTACTGCCGGGGCTCTGCGCTCAGCTCCTGCGAGGCTGCGCTCTGCTCTGCGGCGGGGATGCTCCGGGAAAAGCTGGTCCTGGCCGAGGGTCCTGAAGGTCGGGAACGCGCACTTTCGCTTCTCTCCGCTGCGAGGGAACCTGAGATTCCTTCTGCACCGCAGGCGGCGTCTGGAGCCCTGGGCGCGCCGCCCTGCGCCTTTATGCGGCGTCCTGCGGCCCCACCCGCTGTCCCCTGGGCCAATCAGCGAGCCGGAGGCTGCCGTGGGGACCGGAATCTTCCAGCAGTTTCGCGTCTGGTGGAGTCTCCCCGCCTCCTCTGAGTAATCGCTGAGGAGGGTGCGGCCCCTGTCCAGAACTCTCCAGACCCTTCTGGGGTTCGCTGGAGAGGCCGGATTTCTGGGTAGGGCGGCGGGAGGTGCTTGCTGCCCCTGTTGCCATGGGGACGTACGGTAGCGGTCCCTGTGGTCAAGTGAGGCAGACAAGGGTCAACCTCTGGAGGTGCTGAGCGGTGAGAGGCGTAAGAGACTCAGATCATCGAGGGGGTTTAAGGTCTGCAAACCTTTTCTACAGGACGGGCACACAAAGTTTCTCAAAGGAGGCGGGATAACGCTTAGCCAAAATGATTGTGATTGGGTCCAGGCTCGAGTGACAGCCTGTGGGCGTCCTGAGAAATGATCGTTCCTCTGTTTTTTCCCATCTTAGGTTTAAAAGGGGAAAGAGAAGAGGTCACGAACTATAGGGTTTTTTTTTTCTTTCTGTGTTTACATCACGGTTAAGTACAAGTCAGCAGTAGATCGCCATAGGGAGCCTCCAGTGTTTACAAAGGGATGTCTGTGTGTAAACCCTTGGTTCTCACATTAGGAGGATCTGTGACCGGAATAAGGAAAGTGTCCCAGCGGGAGGGCAGGGCAGTGTGGACCCTGCCAGGACGCAGCCACTCCCTTTGCCTCAAGCTGGAGCCTGGCATTAGTAAGAAATAAAACTTTCCATAGAAATTGGCAGGGTAAAAAACAACAACAACAACAAAAAAAAACCAAAAAAAAGAAAAAGAAAAGAAAAGAAAGAAATTGGCAGGGTGTGGTGGCTCACATCAGTCATCTCCTCACTTGAGAGGCTGAGGCAGGAGGACAGCAGGGAGTCCAATGCCAGTCTAGATTGCAGAGGGATACCTTGTCTGAAAACATTTTAAGGAAAGCAGAGCGTGCCAGCTTGGCTTCTCCTTCGCGTATCTCTTTGCCAGGCACCTTTCTTTCTGCTCAGTTTCTGGCTCTGATGGCGACAGTAAAGTCAGGCTTAACTTAGAGTTCTTTGGTTCTCCCGCCTGTGCCTGCTGCCTCTCGCCATCCCGTGTTTAGATGGAGAGATGGGGTGTTCTGTCCTGTGACAGCGTCACACCTCACAGTGCATTTAAACCCAAGTACTGGGTGAGACCCTAAGGCAGAGGTGTTGGGACCCACCTACGGATTGACCTCTGAGCTTTTTGTCCTGAACCGCAAGGTTCAGTGCCTCATCTATGTCCTGTTTTGAGTACAAATCCATTTAGTTGTCAGTGATCATCTTCCCTGCTCCCTTCCCAGTTCCTCTTCTCGCGGAAGGGGTAAAGACCCCCGGTTAGAGACCAGAAACTCCAGCATGAGGCTGCTGGGGATGGTGGCCCATGCTTGGGCCGGAGGATCGATAATTCGCAGCCAGCCAGGGCCACATCAGAACCTGTCTCAAAAAAGAAAAGAAAAAAAAAAAACCAGAGGATTCATTAGAGCCTCAGTTCTGAGGTAACAGTCTATGGCAGGGAGTGACTATATACACGAATCTTTTTGGGCTTCTTTCCTCTTTTTAATTTTCTTTTCGATAAGATCTCATGTAGCCCAGGATGTTCTTGGATTCCTGTGTAGTAGTCAAGCCTGGCCTTAAGCATCCATCCTCCAGTTTTGACCCCCAAGTACTGGAATTCCAGGCCCCCCATAGGTTCCTGAGTGTAACTTGCAGGTGCCAATATCTGGAAAGAGCCCTGCTTTGGAACACAGCTCCACTGGCATCTTTGTGTGCGCTAGCGTGTGTGTGCACACAAGTCCATATCAAGACATCTCTTCCTGGAATCCAAGGGCATCGAATTGTTTGTGCTGTAGTTTGCTGATCTCAGCCGATGTTTTGAAGATGCATAGATCCCCTTTGTGTCCTTGGCAGACTGCAGCTTGTTCCAGTCAGGGCTAATGAAATGAATTCAGTTCTAATGAATCACTACCCCGATCTGGTTAAACCAGTTAAACTTCCAGGATTTTTCCATTACTCTGCAGCTCTGGCTGGGGATTCCTCTAGGAGTCCCTGCTAGCTGCCTCATAGCTCCCAGAGACCTTGCTACTCCCCACACCCCAGAGGCCTGCTCTCCACCATCTGTGGACACTGATAGTCCTGGGTTTATTCCTTCTGCTCTGGGAATCGGCAGTTCTTAGAATATATCTTTAATAGAAAATTTGGTACAGGGTCTCAAATGGTAGTCGAGACTCCAGGCCTGCAACGCTGACCTTGAGCTCAGAATGGTCCCCTTGTCTCACCCACACAGTGCTAGGACTAACCGGAATGGCCACCACACCTGGTCCACATCTATTTCTCCACACAAAGATATTTGACATTTTGTCTGTCCTTTTAGCCTGGCTTCAGAGGCAGGAGTACAGTGAAGGGTTTTAATTGCTGGGCAGGAGAACCCCAAGAACCCCAAGCTGCTGGTAGAATCCATGCTTAGAATCCAAGACATCTGGATCTAATTATTAGCATCTCTTACCCCCACCCGCCCCCCTCCCCCCACACACACAGAGGACCTTGGTTCATTCTGGAATTAGGTTTTTATTGAGGTCCATATTTGGAAGTAACAGAGTTCAGGGTTCTGAGGGCGGGAGGCTGTGAAGGACTTTTAAGGGGTGGGGAGCGCCAGGGGCAGGAGAGGACACCCAGGACACTGGAGAGGGGAGAACCTTCCTCAGCAGGAGGCTCCAGCATCTTTCTTCCTCTCTTCTCCTTACAGTTTCTCAGAGCAGCCCTGTTGCCCTCAGTCCTCGTTTTTATCAGATGCTATGGTTCTGAGCAGATGCAGAGGAAGCTAGGAAGCCATCAGAGCAAGGGTCATGAACCCCCAGGTGCCTTCCTTCTGCTCCTTTTGATGTATTGCTGAGAGTCTCACCCCTTAGTCCCAGCTGGCTGGAGCTCACAGGGGTCCTCCTGCCTCAACTTCTTAGAGGCCCCTGTGACAGACACTACCCTGCGGAGGCAGCCATTCTTAGACAGATTGCAAAGGCCTTGGTGGCTGTAAACCTCTGCAGAGTTCCAGCAAGTGGAAGGACACTCTGGACAGGGGAAGACCTCAGTTTGGTCTGGAGTCTACCTCTTGGTCAAGGGTGCTTTTTGGTTTTATTTTATTTTTTGTTTGTTTTGTTTTGTTTGTTTGTTTTAACAATGAAGTACTTGTATTCTGTTTTTTTTTTGTTTTTTTGTTTTTTTTTTGGTTTTTTTCAAGACAAGGTTTCTCTGTGGTTTTGGAGCCTGTCCTGGAACTAGCTCTGTAGACCAGGCTGGTCTCGAACTCACAGAGATCCGCCTGCCTCTGCCTCCCAAGTGCTAGGATTACAGGCGTGCGCCACCACCGCCCGGCAAGTACTTGTATTCTGTTAAATCACCCAGGTCTCTATATGACCGTCTCTAAAATAGAGTTAACAGTATCTACTTCAGGCTGTGTGATGGAGCTCCTGTAACTCCAGAGTGGGACAGGCCGAGGAGAAGGATGCCCTGAGACCGTGACCTGGGCCATCTGAAGAAACCCTGCCTCGAAACAGCAAATGCACGGGTGGGTGCGGGCTGGGCTCAGCTCTGTGCTTCTCATTGTGCACAAAGCCCAGGGTTAAATCTGCTACCATGGAAACCAGGGCCAGCATCACACACCTGTGATACCATCAGTGGGGAGGGAGAGGCAGAAGGACCAGAAGGTTGAGTTTATCCGTGGCAACAGTGAACCTGAAGACAGCTAGAATACACTACACCCTGTCTCAGGAAATAAACACCCCCAAAACTCAGACGAAACAGAAATCTGTTTCACAGCGTGGTGGCCTCAAGGACTGGCTGGCTAATGCTCCGATAGCTGTCACAGTGTGTGCTCTGCAGTTTCCCCTCTTTGATTGGCAGGTCCACACACTCAGGTCCAGCTACCCACGCATTCTTGGTGAGGGCCCCACAAAGCTGGGGACCATTTCAGGCACTATGGAAGTAATTAAATTAGTTAAAACTGGGATAAGGCAGGTGCTGTGGTTTATATCTGTAATCCCAGCACGGAGGGACAGAGGGATTGTCGCACTGCCACAGGTTTGAAGCAGCCTGGTCTATAAAGCAAGTTCCAGGCCAGCCAGGGCTACACAGAGAGACCCTGCTCCAGAACCAAAGCACTGGACAGCTTCCCCTCTGCCGTGCCTGTCTAGCAGGGGAAAGGACTTGGCTTTAATTATCTAGGACCACAAAGAGAAGACAGAAATAATTTCATTATGATGCAAAGTTGGGGAGTTTGTCAGATTTATATTTAATGTAGTATATGTGTACATCAGTGCAGGGGCCTGGAGGACAGAAAAGGGCACTGGATCCCCTGGAGCTGGAGTTCCAGGTGGTTGTAAGTTTCTAAACTTGGGTCCTGGGAACCAAACGCAAGTCCCCTAGGACAGCACTGCCAGTTCTTACCATGGACCATCATCTCTCCAGCCCCTAGTGGGACACAGGTTTTGAGGGAAAGGGTTAAGACAGAGAGGACCTTGGGACACACCTAGAACACAGGCCTGGACTTTTCAAAGCCACAAACTGCCCTGGTCCCCACCTGCACAACCAAGATAAGACGCATATTCCCCGCATTGTGCCAGAGACTATTTATAATCCCAGGTAACCGTGGCACCCGCCTGTCAGGGATCCACACAGCTTCTCACATCTGCGTTTTAAGAACACGTCAGAGATTAGGATGAGGGAGAAGAAGGCAGGAGCTGAAAGGTCAGGGCACATTTCTTCCAACTCCTGCCTTCCTGACACCAGCCTTCCCCGAGTCAGCCTCTCCACTCACTGACCACGTAGACTAGGAGGGCAGCGGTGTGAAGGTCACTCTGTGAGCTCTCAGTGCAGGTCGGCCAAACGACCACCCAGGAACTTCCCTCCTGCCCACCAGATCATGGCCCTGCCCCTAAACTCCA